ATTTAATCACAATAGTTTAAAAAACTGAGGTCGACATATTAATAAGCTTTTTTGAATTTCAAATTAATATAAAGTTTTTAAAATAAAAACGTTGAAGATATAATTTTTTTCAAAAAAGAAACTTGTTTTTTTACCACTGGCATTTTTATCCTAAAAAATGTGGACTTTTGCCGCACACAATCCTAATTATACATAATCGATTTCACCTCGAGACTCGATGTCTTCGTTAACGTATACATGTACATAAAGTGTCGATCGTTCGCCTGATGTATGAATACGAGGGTTCTCTCTCTCTCTCTTTCTTTCGACGGATGGAAAGAGGGACGAAAGTTTGACACGGCCGTCGGATGCGGTTCGCCACGAAGCTCGACCGGTAGACACCCCACGGTTTGTTGCTTCGCACCCTCGCTGTCGGGTCTTTTACCTCCCTCGCATTCAGCTGTCACGTGGCTCGTGCTCGAACGATGGTCGGCGTTTCCGCTTTATTTTCCGCCGTCGAGTGCTCGATCTCGTTAACGATCACGCTCGACAGCGATCGAGCCGCTTCCTGGGCCCCATCGCAAGTCAGCAATCGACGCGATGACGCCTCGATGCGGATAAATTCTTAGAAAAAGGATCCGGAGTCGGCGGAGTAGACGACGAAAACGAAGACGAGGACGAGGACGAGGCGAGGATTCCTCGTTTTAATTTATGCGCGGCGTAGCTCGGGGCATTATTAGTCCTAGCTGGGTACGAGAGGGCGTGACGTCACGCGACTAAAACAAAGGATCCTACCGGTGCCCATTTCACGTCGGTTCCCTTTCAAGCGCGCCGACAGGAGGAGCGCGAGGGTCCGAGTCTCTCGTCGAGTAAACTCGAGTATACTCTCTAAAAGTGAATCAATCTATTATCACTGAAAAACAGTAAATAGTCACTGATTACAGCAGTTATAAGTACAGCACTGTAAATCAGTGTTATTTTATTGAAAGAATCAGTTAATAATTTGACTGTTTCAATCAGTAATATTTCTCAATATCAGTAATATTTCTTTCGTTATTGTCAGTAATATTTAACTATAATTCATCTCTCTATCTATTTCATATAAAATTAAAAATTTTATTTATATTTGCTAAATATTTATTATATTAAAAATTTTATTTTATTTATATTACATGCATATTGAACTTGTTATTTTAAATAGATAACGAACAAATAATTTTCATTAAGTCGCCAGACATTTATTTGTCCGACTTATAAAGATCGATTTAATATCTGAAGCCTCTCTATCGAGCTTGTATCAGAAATTAAATCGAAGTAATACTTCTAATTTTAAATGTCGCTCTTTGCAAAATTTATATAATTCTTATAACTAAAATTAAATACGAGAGAGATAGCGATCGTAGCAGTAAATAAACAAACTAGCGATTACTGGTTTTACAGTAAAATTTACTGATTTTACAGTGAATTTTATTTTAACTGACCATAATCAGTGAGATATAAGATAAAATAACAAAAAAATAATCGTTTCCACTGAAGATCAGTAAAATACTCACTGATTCTCAGTGAAATCTTATTTTACTGTTTAAATTAGTGATATTTTCACTGATTCACTTTTAGAGAGTACGCTTCGTCAGCCTCGTATCATGCATTTATTTTATCATGCATTAACCTAACCTAACCTAAAAAAAATAAAATCTCCCGCGCGAGACTGAGAAATTACCGATGCTTCGTTTCTGCAAAAGGAAACTTGCTTATTGCTAGACAAGAAGTGCTAAACGAAAAAGCCCCGATGAGACTCTGAGATGTGACGAAACGGAATGGGATGAAGGTACGCGCGCAATGGAGGATTGGGTACCACGATGGAGACCGGAGGGAGCTGATCGAGGGACGTCGTTGTCTCCGCAGGCCACTGTCATATTGTCCCGGTGGATCGATACGTGGCCTGCCTACAACCTGCACTCATCGAGCTTGAAGAGGGCGTGGCTCGTACACTGGCGGAGAGACACTCAACCCCGTTGCGATCTCCGTTGCCGCGCGTTAGCCACCCTCCTCCGCTCCCTCCCCCTGTTCCTCCCCCTGCGCTACCCTATCCTGGCATCCTTTCGACCGTAAAAGCGGGCGAGACGAGCGTTTCGTTCCTTTCAACCCTCCGCGGTTCTCTCGTCGTCACCCTCCGATCTCCGAGCGAGCGTCAACGAGCGCTCTCATTCGTCGAGGATGTCGTAACGGGGAGATTTCGGAGATTTCCTCGGAATAATGACTTTTGCTCAATACCATACCTTCCCACGTTCGAGTATAAATTACAGTAATTTCGCTAGGACTCGCGATGTTCTAAAAATATAAGCACTTGCAACATCCGCGCTTAATTATTTAGCTCATTATTACTTGTGTTAATAGCACCGAGTCGCGGAAGATGTTGGCGCTTCGCACACGATCGCGTCTTTAAATAACGAGACCGTATTATAGCAATATCGATCATGTTACTCCGGAGAAATATGAGCGGGTTATTTGTTGCACACGTTGATGAATGACCAGGGCAACCGAGTGGAGTCTTCTCTCTTCGAAGGATAGATCAAGCACGAAGCGGCTCTTCCGTTTTTCCTTTTTTCTTCCCCTCCCCCTGCTCTGTCTCTTTCTCTCCCTCTTTCTCCCTCTCGTCGCTACCATCCTGGAGGGGTGCGCGCGTTTCGTTGTCTTTCGCCGGTGTTGTTGGCGCAAGGTTGAATCCACGTGGGGGCGTGTCGCCTCGATGGCGCCGACTGCTAATGGCCGCGCGGCCCTCCAGACCTTAATTTCCTGCCGCTTCCGCGGACCCTCTCGCTTTTACCTCTCCGAGTCCAAATCCGTTCCCCAGGACCCTCTCTCCTTCAGCCTCCGGCCCTTCGGTAGCCGCCGACACTCACAGCCTTGTCCTTTCATCCCCCCATCGTGAGCGATTTGCATGGAGCTGCTCTTTTGATGAAGTTCGTTATCTAAAATCTCTCGGTCCGCTTCTGTCTGTCGTCCGCTCTAATTTTTAGCTCGTGCGCAAATTGCGTTTCCTTTAATCCCTCGTGCGTGAAAGGGAACACGAGCGTCGCAAATTTCTTAAAGGACTCGTTCAAGTTTATTATGATATAAAATTGAATTTATAGGATTATATTAAGATATAGACCATATTCTACTCTCTAAAAGTGAATCAGTGTATTATCACTGAAAAACAATAAATAGTCACTGATTACAGCAGTTATAAGTACAGCACTGTAAATCAGTGATATTTTATTGAAAGAATCAGTTAATAATTTTGACTGTTTCAATCAGTAATATTTCTCAATATCAGTAATATTTCTTTTGTTATTGTCAGTAATATTTAACTATAATTCATATCTCTATCTATTTCATATAAAATTAAAAATTTTATTTATATTTACTAAATATTTATTATATTAAAAATTTTATTTTATTTATATTTCATGCATATTGAACTTGTTATTTTAAATAGATAACGAACAAATAATTATCATTAAGTCGCCAGACATTTATTTGTCCGACTTATAAAGATCGATTTAATATCTGAAGCCTCTCTATTAAGCTTGTATCAGAAATTAAATCGAAGTGATACTTCTAATTTTAAATGTCGCTTTTTGCAAACTTTATATAATTCTTATAACTAAAATTAATTACGAGGGAGATAGCGATTGTAGCGGTAAATGAACGAACTAACGATTACTGGTTTTACAGTAAAATTTACTGATTTTACAGTGAATTTTATTTTAACTGACCATAATCAGTGAGACATAAGATAAAATAACAAAAAAATAAACATTTCCACTGAAAATCAGTAAAATACTCACTGATTCTCAGTGAAATCTTATTTTACTGTTCAAATTAGTGATATTTTCACTGATTCACTTTTAGAGAGTAGTATATTCTTATATAAATATATATTTATTGTTTTCCTTGAAGTTACTATTTCTGTAGAATTTCAGTATTCGCACATAACAAAAATCTTACAAACTAAAAAAACTTATGGCAAAATGGCCTCGATCCTAATCTAATCTAACCTAGTCTATTCTTATATTATTCTTATATTCATAGTCTATCTCAGATCATCTTAAGTCTGACCTCGGGTCGCCTTAAGATTCTGTTCAGCCAATGAAATGGCCGTATAACATTTTCAAACCTTATTTAAGATGTTAAATATAAGAGCAGATTATGAATACAGACCATAGTTATTTCTTTGAAAATCAACATTTTTCATCTTTTTTATTTATCGAACCCACGTGATATTTAAAGAGAATCAATTTTGCTCTATTTTTATGTCTACAATATTGTCTCATATTGTTTCGAGTCTCCTAATATTGTACCATGGAGAACATATGCCGACCTTGTGTTTGAAACAAGAACAATTTGCATGAAACCGGCCTAGGTAGAGCGATCGGTCTATCCGGGTCTCATTACTTTTAGCGACTTTAATCTTGGATCTCTTCTAGGATAGAAGCAATTTAGTGTCATTATACGCCCTTAGGAGAACACTTTCTCTTCTTTCTCCCTCTCTCTCTATGGGCCCGAACCTGGGCTTCTTTTTATAACGATTTAGATCGCGGCGGCGATTATGGGCGTCCACCGGGCCGACAGATTTCGATATTACGTATCGCGCTGGCACGAAAAAGTATCCCGATGGTCCGGTGAATCGAAACGCGCGATACGTAATTCGGCCCAGAGTTGTTATTACCGATTTGCGTAATCGCCCCGATCCCGCTGAAATTGTTCCACAACGAGTGTTTTCGATGTGAAAAATCCCAAAGAAAGACCGGCAACGCGTGCGTTGTTAGCACATTGTAAATCGAGGATAGGGATTATGCGAAATTCGTCAGGAATTTTTCATCGAGGACTCATCATCATATTCCTAATGATATACAACAAATGGAGACTTGGCTCGAACATATTATCACTTATCGTGTTACCGCTAAAGTAGATAAATGCCTTCCCCCATAAAATGAAACTATGACCGAGCATGGATTTCCCTTGCAATGTTACAGGATCATCCGGGATTGCGAAGCACGCCTCTGGCCATGTTGGCGGCTCAGTGCAACAAGCTGAGCAGCAAGAGCCCGCCACCGCTAGCGGACGCGGCGGTAGGCAAGGGTTTCCATCCTTGGAAGAAGAGCCCGCAGAGCAGCGGCAGTTCGCCGCAGCATAGCAGCGGAGGGGGAGGCGGCGGCGGAGGAGGAGGAGGAGGCGGCGGGTGCACCACGACGGGAGTGAGCCAGAGACCGGCAGCAACGAGCAGCGCCGGCAGCACGACCGGCGGTTACGCCAGAGCGCCAGTGACATCGTGCGCCTCGACCGCACCGCAATACGGTAGCGAGTTGTACTTTCCCGGGACAGCGAGCGCTCAACCGGCCGGCGATCCCCATCACCATCAGAGCAGTCTCTTGGGCAAGGTCGAGGGTGCGACCTTGGGCTCGGTATACGGGAGGCATCCGTACGAGTCGTGGCCGTTCAACGCGATGCCGGGCGCGACTCACGGCGGAATCAAAGCGAGCGACGGTTGGTGGGATGTGCACGGTGCCGCGACCGCCGGCGGTTGGCTGGACGTGAGCGGCACCGTCGGCGTCGGGGTCCACGCGGCGCAAATGGCCAATTACTCGGCCGATTACTCGACGAGCCTCGCGCTCGCCGGGAATCATCTGCTGACGACGGCCACGACCGCCGGGCACAATCTCCTGCAAGACACGTACAAGTCGATGCTACCGGGCGGACCGCCCGGATTCGGGCTCCATCATCACGCGGCCGCGACTGCCGGCGCCGGCGCCGGAAGTCCGCAGGGCGGCGGCGGCGCCGGGGGTGTCGGCGGGGTCGGGGGCGCCGGCGTCAGCCAAGCGCCCTCGCCGCGCTCGCAGAGACGTTACACCGGTCGCGCCACGTGCGATTGCCCGAATTGTCAAGAAGCCGAGAGACTCGGTCCCGCCGGCGTGCACCTCAGGAAGAAGAACATCCACAGCTGCCACATACCGGGATGCGGCAAGGTCTACGGGAAGACGTCGCATCTGAAGGCCCACTTGCGGTGGCACACTGGTGAGCGACCGTTTGTTTGCAACTGGCTTTTCTGTGGCAAGCGGTTCACACGTTCGGATGAGTTGCAGCGGCACCTTCGAACCCACACCGGCGAAAAGAGATTCGCCTGCCCGGTCTGCAACAAGCGGTTCATGCGCAGCGACCATCTCGCGAAGCACGTCAAGACCCACAGCAGCAGCAGCAGCAGCAGCGGCAGCAAGGGCAAGGGGGGAGCGGGGAGCTCGTCGGCCGAGTCTTGCTCCGACAGCGAGGACAACGGGAGTCAGCAGAGTCCCACTTCCAGCTCGGTGCCGCAGCCGCAGCCGCCGTCGCAGCCGGCGGCCCAGGCCCAGCAGCAGCAGCAGCTGGCAGCGGCTGCGGCGGCGGCAGCGGCAGTAGCGGCGGCAGCGGTGGCGGCGGGCCAGGACACCACCAGCAACACCACCTCCCCCCAGACCACCAACACTCTCGGCCATCAGCCGACAACACCCATGACCCCAATACAGATGACCCCGCCGCCTCTGACCCCACACCATCCCCACCACCCGCATCTCCCGCCTCTAATGCACCATCCTCATCATCACGCAACCTCCGTGCCGGCGGCCCATCATCCGCACGCGGGGATGAGCATGCACTGAGCCCGGTGGGGCCCGGAGCCGGTGCCTGCAGTACCCCTGCCGCAACGGCCCTGGGCTCCCCCCTATCCTACCCCCTCAATCTGAACCTCATGCAGAATCACGCGACCATTAATCCGTCGGCCATCGCCCACCATCACCATCAGCAGCACCAAAACCACCATCACCATCATCACCACCACCACCAATCGCACCAACAACAGCATCCGCGACAAAACAATTCCTACTCTGTGCAACAGAATCCTGGCACGCCGGGGACCGCGCAGACTCCCTCACCCTCGTCCCCCGCGCCTGTACATAGTCTCTAAGCCGTTACGAGCGCACTCGCGTCCGACAACCGGTCACAATCCACCGCACGTCCGTCCGCCGCGTTCATACACGCAGGCACGAGTAATATACACACGTAGACACAAGAGCATACACGAAGGTACACACGAATCTGGCTCCCCGTCCTGGTTCCGAATACGGAAAATGGTCCCCGTTTTTAAATACACGCACGCGAATTTTCAGGATTTTTTTTTTATCTGTACATAATATATATATATATATACATGACGCGTGAAAGAGAGGGAGAGACAGAGAGAGAGAGAAAGAAAGTGAGAGAGAGAGAGAGAGAGGGAGAGAGAGAGAAATGATATATTAATTATAAGCGGTGTAATGTTGTGTGTAAAAAAAAAGTAACCCGTATAAATATATAAATATAAATATATAAATATATATATATACGGGGTGTTTCTAAAACTATGTCGGAGATTTTAAGGGCGTATTCTAGGGATTGAAATAAGAAAAAAAGCTCGTATAAACATGAGTCGAAAAATGTTTTTCCTCCGAGTTATAGCCCCCTAAAGTTGAGGGAAAAAATCGAAAAATGTATTGTAACTCTCTCGGAAACTTTTTCATAGAACGTTAAAGTTTTGCACAGCATAATAATTAATAATGAGCTTCATTTTTATGTGGTTTTGACAATTTTTTCGCTCAACTTTAGAGAGCTATAACTCGGAGGAAAAGCATTTTTCGACCCATGTTTATACGAACTTTTTCTTATTTTAACTCCTAGAATACGCCCTTAAAATCTCCGACATCGTTTTAAAAACACCCTGTATATTATACATTATATATATATTGTACAATATATATATTATACATTATATATATTATACATAATGCACTGTCGCGTTGTACCATACACCGACAAAACACTTGGCGCCCCGCCGACTCTTCTCTTCCGTTTTCATTTTCGGAAGGCAAGAGACGGAAAGAGTTAAGGAGAAACGACCGTGGAAGTATGGACACGGACAGGTTCCAAACGATTTCATACCACGCAGGGCCTTGAGCATTGTCTAATGAGAGAGGAGAGAGAGAGAGTGAAAGTGTTTTTTCCTTAGTGAATTTACAATTGTTTCCAGGCAATTTGTTACGTTTGGAACTTGGAACGACAACTCATATCAGCCCACCCTTCGGATGTAGTAACGCGCACTATTATCAATGAATTATTATTATTATTAATTATTAATTATTATATTAAATATTAATTATTATTATTAACTCTTTTCTTATTACTGTGTATTTTATTATAAAAATTATAAATTCATTTTAAAGTGAGAAAGAGGAAATAAATAATGCTTTTGTGAATAATGATTCTATTCGATCGAACTCTCATTCCACCCATGAAACTCGTCCCTTGCCATCCAAATTTCGAACCCGTGAAACGACAATTCCTGTCGGCTCTCAAAACTCTTGCTGCTGTTGATCATTAAGGAGTGATTCATAAAAGGCTGCTCTATCGTTCTTTTTCTTCTGGTAAGCGTAATCTTTTTCACACAATTTCAACAATTAAAAATAAATTTATCCATATATGTATGTATGTGTGTGTCACGAGGTTTTTTAATAACAACTTTTAATCGTAATGGCAATTCATACATTCACGATAAAGGCTCGTGGCTCGACTTTAGCAAGTGCTGTCGACGTATTAAGGATGTATTGGACTCAAGTCTGTCTCAAAAGTTATTCCAAAGTATCAAAAAATTGAAGTTGGGCAGAATACGAATTCTAATTGATCAAAAATTTTTTAAAAATCACGAAATCATACTTCAAAGTATTCTTTAATATAAATAGGTCTTAATTTCCAAGAAAATGTTGCCACGTTTTATCATCAATATTGCGTCAAACCGATAATCACAGTTATTTTTTAATAATAATTTCAAAACGAGCAAGTAAATCGTTTTAAAACTTTGTGGAAACATTTTTACATGCATGAAGAATATAATATTACAAAATGAAATTTTTATCATTGTTTTTTTATAGTTTGTGAATAATTTATTACCTGTCTCTTGAACGTTTACATAAGATCCTACGTTAAAATCGCAAAATTCAAAAATTAATAACTTCTAAAGGAGCAAGTAAAAAAATTTGAAATAATTCATGACGATTTAGAATGTTATTAAGAATGTTAAATTAAAAATTCACGGCGATCTCATTGATTAATATATCTCTAATACATCCTTAAAAGGCTTCGAGAGCGACAGAGCACGAGCGGGACACGAGCTCGTGGGACGATATTATCGCACGGGCCGTTAAATCCCGGATCCTACCAACCGTGAAATGTCCCGTCATAACATCGGGTCTCCCTCGCTATGTAGAGGTCGTGCAATTTTATTTTCCCGCTCCGGGATTTTATTCCGATCTCCGGCTCCTTCCTTCTTTCGGAGATTCACCGATTACGCGATGTAGCTTCGCGTAGCGAGAGCAACGGAAATGCGTCCGATAGCTTCGGCTCTCGATCTTATTAGCGAGAATGACTCGGCTCGGGCCTAAACAAGTGGAGTAGCCACGTCACGCGATCATTACGAACTCCTATAAAGTCGATTCTTCAGAGAACTCCGCCGACCGTTCATAATAATTGATTACAGCATGCGCAATATTCTTCAAACAATGACAGGAGTCGCTCGTGTCACGAGAAAACTGCGCGTCTCCAAAGACAAATACGTAGCCATTAACGAATTAACGAATCGGTTTTAGACAAAAATAATGTCTCTCACAATGAATCTAAAATCAAACATCTCTAAAAATATATAAATATCTAATAAAATATATATGTAATCTCGTAATAAAATCTCAATAACAAAATATAAATAATAATAAAATCAAATGATAATAAAATCAAATAATAATCAAATCAAATCAAATAAAATAATAATAAAATCAAATAATAAAATATATAATAAAATAAAATAAATAAATAATAAAATAAATAAATAATAAAATAAAATAAAATAATAATAAAATCAAATAATAATAAAATCAAATCAAATCAAATAATAATAAAATCAAATAAAATCAAATAATAACAAAATATATAAAATATTTAATATATTGATTTTTTATATAATCTCACTTAAAGGATGAAATTAGGATTTCATCGAATACGAGGAGCAGCGTCGCGACGCGGCGACGTCGCAATAGACAATTTTCGAGCACGACGCCGTAAACTGGATCAATATGGCAGAGATTACGAAATAAGATCGTTATGCAAAGCAGTCGGAGGGAGTCGCGCCAGGGTTACGCCGCAGCAATTCGCGGGGGGAAGGAGCAGGGGGTGGCGGAAGGGTGGGACGAGGGGAGGAGGGGAGTGCGGTTAACGTATAGCGGCAAGCGTGCACAGGGCCGGGGGATGGCTTTTTCGGTGATTTAACCGAGGAGGGTGAACGTTTGTTATTCAATTTGCAACCCCCTCGGTACCAGCCACTGCTCTCACCCCTCTATCCACAGATCATCGCGCCTTTTACGACCATGGCCGTACGTTTCTAATGCAGGAAACGTTCCTCCTCGCACGGGATATAGCGATTGGCGAGTATTCTGCTCCGTTTCGACGTTTCATTCTTCCGCACTTACGTAACTACTTTATTCCCCGTCTCATTCTTTTCGTTTCGTGACAAGTTGACAATGATTATACGTCGATCTCCTTCTACTGTACTCGAAGGCGTTGTAGTTCAAGGTACAATTTAATTATAATGTAACAATATGCACTGTCACTGTAAACTTTTAAAATAATTAATTTCTTTATATTTTTATATAATTATCTTTCACGAATCTTTCTCATTTTAAAAATGCATAACATCTGAAATATCCCGAAAAAAATAATATGATTTGTCAATAAAAATATTAATATAAAAGAAGTGATATTCTCGAGGAGAAAAAATAATTTTTAATCAAATAAGAAAAAACATAGTAATCACACATATTATATCTTTAATGGATATTTTATCATTGAAGAAATTTTCAAAGAATTAGCTTTTTTTGTGATTATATATTATACATGTGTGGACAAAATGATAAATATTAACTCTCATACATATTTATAAAAATTACAATTGGATTAAATACAATGATATTCGATTTTGAATCGTATCAATCGTCATTATTAATGTTAATATGTTATCATTATTAAATTTCCTCGTAATTTATGTGTGATATACTTATACACGTACACCACTAAATAAAAGAAGTAAAATGAATCCTTTTCAAGAGAGATGCATACGTCTGTTCTGCGGGCTTGTGAATGAACAAGTATCATTATCTATCATCATTATTATATATATTATAGAAATTACGATTTGATACAATGATATTGGATTAATTTTAAGTCGTGTCAATCGTCATCAATGTTAGTATATTATTACACAATAAAATTATTCTTATTAATATTATTAAATTTCCCGGTAATTTATGTACGATATATTTATGCATGCGTACCAATAAATAAAAGAGGTAGGACGGACTCTTTTCAAGAGAGATACATACGTCCGTTCTGCCGGCTTGCGAGTGAATAATTAGGCGCGTGCGAGTGTCACGTCCGCGAGATCGTTCTCAAGACTCGGGGTCATTAGATCCGTCTGTTCTTTCGAACGGCGGTTGCGATAATAAAGGTCGCGTTCGTCACTAGACAAAGACACCGCCGTGCGATTAATTTCACGGCGGTGCGCCCCATCGCGATACAATTGAAACGAATGGAGCGGCGGGAGCGCTTTTATGAAGCCGGCGGAACGACACTTTGCTCGCAAACACCGATCCCGTCCCGCTTGGATTGCGTTCATCGTGATTTATAAGTGGATCACGAGTAACAAAGATGTAGATTACACAACCAGAAAAATAAAACGCGTTATGAGAGCGATACAATAAATCTTGTACTTATTTCTCCCGGTTATTTTTTTTACAGATTATTTCATTAAAGATAATTTTTTTACAGATTATTTCATTAATAATGATGCTGTTGTATTTTATCGAAAAATTGTGATTTAGTTTCAAGTTTACCGATCAATTTGTGCGATTGCTGCAAATATTCCTCATATACCTCACGCATTAATATGCAATTGTATGTAGTGATATTAACCCTTTAAGTGTTTTATTTCACTTTGAGAACGTGCAGTTTTGTTGTGTTTAATTATTGTTAAGCTGCGACAAAAGCAGAGTAAGCGCATTTGCTATAAAATTGAAATAATTTATAATAAAACGACAACATTTTTTTCTAGTTGTTTTATTAAATCATATTTTTATTATAAATATTTATTATAAAATTATATTATTTTTAAAAAATTATATATAATTATAATTGATAACAATTTGATTAATTCGTTACAAAAATAAAAAATGAATATTTGAGAAAGAAAAATTTTTTCTTCGTACGTTTTTTTTGTCTTGAAATATTTTAAAATGTGTTAAAATTACGAATGTGTTTTTTGTTTTACCTAAATTTTACTTTAATAGCAAATGCAAATTTTGTTTGATGACGAGTATACTCGACATAAACATCGAAAAGATTAATTATTAATCTACATAATAATTGATTAATATAAATAGATAATTAAATAAA